AAATGTAGAAAAAAATTACTTGCGTTAAATTTAACTTAAGACAGAGAAGTAACGCCAAGCCAAGTTTTAATCCCACGTTAAAGCCGGGAAACTTTTACACAACTGAGCCTTAGCGTTGGAATAAAATAGGTATATGAAGAGATGTAAGGTAAAAAAAGCTATAGCCTGAACCTAGGACCAAAAAAATAGCTCTAGTTTAAACTCGAGCTTAAAGAACAGCATAATTTATGGCCTCAGTGGAAGAACTACAGTTACAGTAACAACCTTGAAGCGAGGTCTAAAAGCAGCTCAGACCAATCGTAAACTCTAACCGAAGGCTCAAAACTAAGTTCAGAGGTAAACCTGTGCTCACCTTACTGTTGTAAGTTAAGAGTAAATTCTATTTCGACTTTAAACTTTGACCTTAAGCTCAGATCCGAGCTTAAGCCCATGATTTGCCTAAGTTTAGGAATGGGGATGAATCTGATGCGATTATCAACTGTAATAGGAGCATAAGCGAAGCAAGTTTTATAACTTTGCTTAAGCTTAGACTCAATTTCAAACCCAAAAATGAGTTTCGATTTGAATTTAAGGCTAAACGTTGAACCAAAGCTTAAACTGCAATCCTTTTAGCTCTGATATGTGCTCGAACAGCATGTACAATAAGCCGATGGCTAACCAATGTCTAGGACTAAACCTGCGTGGTTTCTAGTTTAAATTTGCCATACTCTCCCTAATCGTGGAATTCACTCCAACAAATTTCCACAAGAAAACGTTACTGCCAGCGTAGTCCATCAGAACGCGTTTTATCCTACTGTTTCACAGTTTTTAACCACCAAAGTGCGAGAGGTAAAGCATAAATTCGACATGACTAGTTAAGTACAGAAAAAAAAATAAAAATAAAATCGCAGACAAAAAATCACGTTGATGTTAGAAAAATATATTTTTCCTGGTTACAACTTAGTGTTTCGCTGCAAACTGATTCTGTTTCAACACGCGTTTTTTCACGTGAATGAAAGCATTTTTGATGATTTCTTACCCAAAACTTATTCCCAGTATTCTGACAACAGTTGATAGACGTTCGCTTCACCAAGACTTTATGAGGAATGAATTGCTCTTCTTGCTATTTCGCTCAACTATTATTCCGTTTGTCCTCCATAAATTAATATTTAATGATTAAGCGGGCGAAAAAGTTTAATATTACCTCTAAATGTTATTCCGAAATTGCAGGCAAACAGAGGAAGCAATACGAAATTCTTTTCTTCTCTGTATTTTAACATCAGTTCTCCCCTTTCTCCATCAAATGTCTCCTCCTGACTTCTAAATCCCTTTGTTTATAAAGGTTTAGAAAACTAAGTCTAGAGCAGTCAACATTCGAGTTAATAATTTAGTTAAGTTTTTTCGAGCGTTTGCTTGCTTACTTTGTGGACAGCTTGCAACCTTGCCTAGTTGGCACCCACTGTCCACAAGTAGTCCTTACGTTATAATCTCAAGATACGCACATAAAGGAATTGATAATAACTATGCCAGCAGTAATAGTAATGAAAGCAGTAATGAATATCAGTTATTTAGAATGGCAATGATTCCAATGGTAAAAACAGTAAGTAAAAAATAAGGGATAAAAGCAATGTAGGCACTGGGAACACTAAAAATGGTAATAGAAGTAGCAGCAACTATAGTGACAGGATAATATTAAGGTTAACAAACATATAGACAGTGTAAATAGTAATAATAATATTAAATCCCTTGCACTACTCTCATATTCTTTTATAATAAGTCTAAAATTTGCACACTTTAACCCATCAAAGAAAATATCTTTGGAATTTTTATTTCAACATATTACTGCTTTAACAATAAATAAAAGATGAGCATGATACTCAAATCTTAAAACCTAACCGTAAGTTGGTACCTGCAATACTGAAAAGCTGTTGGATTTGCACAACTAAACTAGAGCGTTAGAAAATTGTAATGATAAACAAGCAAGTCTTTTCAAAGATGAATAAAAATACGGAAGAAACCGGAAGTTTGAAAGAAGAAAAAAAATGCATACCGAGGTACAATATCACGCATGAAAAGTTATAAAAACTCTAAAGCTGGCGAAAAAATGAGTGTGAATTATTGTACTGAAATTGTAGTCATTAAAACAAAAAAGCAAATGCTTGACTAATTAAAAAGATTTGATATTTGTTGTGATTCATCGCAAATGCGTAGCTGGAGCCTCCGCTACTCTCCCAAAAAACTTGCAAGTTTTTTTTTAACGGATACAAGCAAATTTCTGGTATTTTTACGGAAATGATTAATTCTACTTTTCAAAATATTCAGGGATGGCAATCTTGATGGTCCCTTAACAACTTTATTGTTTGCTTCAAAATAGCCTAATTCTCACAGGTTCTCCTTTTTTTAAGAAATCAAGAGAAATAAAAAAGCGAAAATGTATAAGATGGAAGCAAAAAACTGTAGGTTTTTGAGCAGTTGCTGGAAAAAGTTTTACCCATAACTGTTGTCAAGCGCTGTTTACACGTCGACGACAGTCACTTCGCGTGACACCAGACGAGTGCCAATGACAAAAGGGAGCAAAAAACCGCGGAAACATTTGCAGCAGATTTTTTTTGTATCTTAGGTGTCATTTTCTGCTGTCATAGTATAAGTCGTCGGCAAAGTACACTCCGTTTGCGAATACTCTGTTGTATCCACTAGTGATATTAACAAGCGACAATTGATCGTAAGATAAGTGAACTTTATTGCTTAAGAACATACCAAGTGAGCGAAGGATAAGTTCTTAATTCTTGCGACCCGTTCTCGTACTCATTTGCTGGTGTGATAAAAATATTGATTGGTGTCAAATGGCTGCAAACAAAATAACGATATTGTTCAATTGCTTTTGGGCAGAAGAAAAAACGGATAATATCGACACAACAATTCTATTAACAATAGTTTTAGCGAACATTGTGTCTGCATTACGCGGCCCACCTAAATCCCACTTTAATAAGACTAGGACACCAGTCATCTGAAAGTAGCTCAAATTCAAGCCACATAACCACTTCTCAGGGATTGGAAAGAAAGCGAGGTTAAGAAAGAGAGAGAAACTGCTTTAGAAGGAAAATTAATGTTTTGGTCGTCGAAGAAACTATTGTAAACCAAAATTCTTCTAGAACCGAAGCTGCGCAGACGCATCTGTCATAAGTTTTACTACAATAATGTGCTAGGTGGTTTCAAACTTTTGAAACAAAATTTAAATGCCATTGGCAAATTCCATTTCACTTTTCATTTATTATCATTCTGTTAAAAAATCTTCTAAAGGTTCCTGAGACTTTTATTTCATTATAACCAAAAAAAGAGTAGAATACAGAAAATAAAAAGATTTTAGTCTGCAGGTTCTTTCAATCGCTGAGTAAACCGCTTTCTTTTCAGGTTATAACTTCTGACAAAGAAAAAATCGGTAGCTGAAAGTCTGTAGTAGCGCCTTTCAGGAGTTGAATAAAAAAAATTAAAAAATTTAATACTTTTGGTATACACGGGAGACCAATCAGTCTTGAGCAAAGTTGAGTCAAAAGCACAAAGAAAAACAGTCTCAGTCAAATAGAGTTTGTCATAACAAGAAAAACCTTTAAAACTTGAACATCAGTGTGAATTCAGCCTATCATATTAATCTTACAAACAAAGACGAGGATACAAGTAACCCCTCTGACAACCAGTTTTTTAGAATTAGGAGTACAGAATATGCCACAAATCTGTGACAGAAGATCACTCAATTCCTTACTTTTGCGACAAAAGTTTTTAGAAAAAAGTACAAGCAAAAATGACCAGAAAAACTTTAAAAAATTTATTTTTCCCCATTTTCAATTCCTGTACTTCTTAATAGGTAGGCTCCTGTTTCAGCAGCCAAGTCGTATTC